TCATAGTTACTGTCTCAAAAGGCTTAAAATTTCGCCTTAGCAAATGATTGCCAACCAACCAAGCCACCAGTATTTGTTTATTATGTGTCTAGATTATCACCCGCAATTTTTATTTACGTTTAACAAAAAATTGTTTTTTAATTGTTTAATTCAAATATATATTTATTATTCAAGTCTATACACAAACTTTTAAATTGTTGATGTTAAAATTTAAAATTAATATTAATATTCTGCGCCATTCATCGTTATCTCGATGTTACAAGTTTGTGTATAGACTTGAATAATAAATATATATTTGAATTTTAAACACAAACATGACGCATCAAAACTATAAACTTAATTGTTTAATGTATAAAGGCCTAAATGTAAGCACGAAAATAATTTTATTGTAAGACACAGTTAGTTAAATACACTCATGCAATAAAATCTTCAAATATTTAGTAAGATAGCCCATAATCAGCCCATATAGATAACACGACTTAAAAATTCTGAGAAATAAGTCATAAGACTGAGTAAACCCCAGAAATCTTAAGGAAACACCTGTAAAAAAGAAAATATAAAATTCACATAACAGCATTTCATACACGCGGAAAACTCCACGGATATTTCAGCGAAGAACGTGTACTTTTAGGAATCACCAGACGCCGTGGCTAGAGAAAAGAGAATTATCTGAGCAGGGCGAAGCATTGTAAAATATGAAGAGCATGCAGAGGTTACACCCAGCAATGTTACAGAGGAAGAACTCTGTCATAGAGTCGCCCGCCCTCCTCAAGAACGATATGTAGTGACGTGTGATGTATAACAAAATCTGCAATGGTAATTTGTATTTGTTTTGTTCAACAATTTTTTTCGTATTATTTATATGCATGTATAGTAACTTCAGACATGCCAATTTGTAGCCTAATAAATTTGGCGGCAACTATTTTGTAAGAAGTCATTCATAGACAATCTTTGATAGAAAATGAGGTTTAAATATTTTCAAAATAACCTGGGCGTATCGCAATTCAGCCCAGAGAGACGAAAATCCAGCTAAGGGGTAACGATTCGATGTTATGCTTTCCAATTTCCGGAAAGAAAAGAAAACGTACAAGAAGCATTGATTATTTGTTTATTTAATGATGTTCTGTCAGCAGCATAGATTATGTTGCCTTTGTTGGCAAGATGTTAATAAATTTGTAGTCCAAACACATGGAAAATTACCGCTGGTGGTATATTGTACATACTATAATGGAATTTCGTCAGAGGTACTGAGGTATATAACTACGAAGTTCAGTTAGATTTTTCAATCTATGGGTTGAAATTCGAACCCAGGAACTTTACAATAAATTTTAGATTAGTCAAATGCGTTAGCCTAAATATTCTGTCCATTAAATCAGCCCCTCCGTAATTTTTCATATCGGCTCTAAAAAACTTTGTGCTGACTTGTCTGTTATTTTGTTATACTATTAGAAAGGGCACGTTGAAATTAACTCAAAATTATTTATTTCGTATTTTAATTGCCCTGCATTTCTCATATAGAAATATTTCTGAAAGCTGCCTAATTGTAGCAGCACGTAAAATAAACCATTCTGCAAATCCAAAATCATTACTGACAACTTCATGATTCATATAACATGTAGTCACATACAGAATCATGTTATTTTGTTATAATTTATCCTATTTTAGTGGTATATTATCTATTTATTGAGATTCTAACAAACAGTCAATTTGATTTAAATAATAGAATATTTGTTACATTGTTAAATTTGTGTTACATACTGGAATATACACAGACACGCTGTACTGAAAGACGTGAAGTTCGTTTGATAGGGACACGGCTTCAGCATTAATGTTTACCCCTGACGTCATCGATACGAAGCATGCATGCCTCCCCTCCCCCCCCATCAGCAAAATCACGCGAGTTCCGTATCTTAGTGAAACAACCTTCTTTGCATTTTATAAATATTCCACGGAATAAAGTATTCAGTCATTCTTCAGCAACACGATATTATTTCCATAATATTGCATTTTTTTTATCCTGTTCTATGCACCGGCTGTTCCTTTAAACCAGACATCGACCCAAGTCCCATTATGAAGTAACGTTCTTAACAGCTATAAATTTCAGCGTAATTAAATAAAAATGTCATTACATACGGATGGATGCAGAATTTATATTTATATTACTCTGAATTCACTTTTCCTCTGCGTGACAAAGAAAGAAATGTGCACGTTCAAGTCCACGAGACAAATAAAATGTTGAGGAAAAGAAATAATGGATCCCATAAGGACCATGCGTATTCTTGGACATATTTTGAGTATTATTCTATTGCTTTTCTGATCGAATCTCTATCAAGGTTCGTAATTTTTTATATATTTTTTTGAAGATGTGAAAGAACATGAATGCATATGGGGCTTTCATTTTACTTTTCTTTCTTTCTTTCTTTCTTTCTATATTGACAGCAAAGGACGTTCGTTTTCTCTACCTAAACGCCTGCCAACCGCGATTGAAAATCAATTAGTTGTTACATTAAAATAATCATAAGGGTTAAATAAGTTTTACGTTGACCACGTATGTGAACATCATTAGTGGAAACTTTCACGTAATGTCTCTGATAGCGGAGGATGAAATCGTCTTCGAAACGTTGGGTTTTTGTTTGCAACTGACAAGAATTTGTTTTCCGAGAAGAGTTTTCAGCAAAATTCTGAATAAAGACATTTAAGGGTTACTTTGCATTTCTAAAGTAAAATTAAAACTCGGATGTAGCAAAGTACACAGATTAAGGGCTTACGTTTTCTTAGGGACAATATAACAATACACTTTCATTGCTTCTTAAAAAAAGGAGAAAGGAGATATATAAAATATTTCTTATTTTATTTGTATTTCGCGTAATTATATTATTTATTTCAGTGTCACATAACTTACTTTATGATAATTAGGCTATTAATATTCTATATTTTAGGAATAATTGACCGCAATTAATGCCCTATTTCACCTTAATGGTTTATATTAATGATTCATGACTCTTTAAAGTCACGTAACTGATCATTTTGATTGAAGTATTTAAATTATAAACTGGTATCGATCCCGTGTTTTAAATTATGCCTGTGAATCGTACGCAGTTAGGATTTTGCCAATGAAACATTAAACGTCAGTTTATCAGCTTATTTCCTTTTTCCAAGTATTAGAACACCCAAATTCGCTGCCAGATTAATCTTAATGAGTCCAAGTTATTCAATGATTTCACGTACATAAAATGTATTATTTTTAAATAAAATTGGATTTAATTTGATCATGCAATTTACTTTTTCCAGATGTTGTACCCTTCGGGGATGATCAAATTATGGAGGATAATATGAACAGGGCATGAATAACACATGTAAGTGATGAGAAACACACTCAAAACTTAGCCGAAAAGCTTTAAGGGACAGTAAAACATATGATACGTAGGTGGGAAATATTAAAATAAATATTGAAAAAAATAATTTTTGAAAATATAGATTGTAGTTGTCTGATTCATCATAGGGATCAATGACGAGCTGTTGTGAATGTGGTAATGAATGTTCTTGTTCCTTAAAGGACGTGGAATTTCTTGACAAACTGAGTATGACTGTAGTCGACTTTCAAAGCTACAAAAAAAAAAAACAACAACTTAAGTTGGACTTTGTGTCCACGCAAATATTCCGTTTTCTTATACCTTCATTACAAACACGCGTGTTTACTGTACACGCTACGCTGAATATTGTATCACGAACGATATAACATTCCCCTGTTCAAAACATGATTTGCATCGACGTAGTTGTTACATTTGACGTCAATGTTACAGCTGTGTCAGTAAATATCAATGGTCTAGCCTTCCAATTACTGCATGAGAATGCGAGTCATGTCTTCTGTCAGTTCTAACATTACGACAAACGTGTTTAGATTTTGCTATGCTCGGGCGCACTGCTTCAAGTTTGCCATCTTTGAATGTTTTGTTGACGTACTCATTTCCATTTGTCGGTTCGATAAAGGCGGATAGCAACGGGCTTTTGAGCAGTAACAATGCCTACATACACTACCAAAAATAACAAATGACCTATCGATCGGTGCCGATTCGAGGAACATGAAGTTAACGTGAGTAACGCCCCGTGAGATGGAAAAGTCTCTGCGGGGTTTCGTTCTGGAGCACAGACCCCGTTGCTACGCTGTACTAGACTGCATAATCACTGACCCGTTTGATTCACGTCCTGTTTGTGAAATATCGTTTTATGCACCGAGTTCAGTCGGTTAAAACTAACTGAATGCCTTTCTTCAGAACTTATTTATCGAAATTGGACGTAAAGTTTCATTTTAAAGTTTGTACGGTCTCATTTGACTCTTGGCTTACTTAACAATGTTCTTTGGATATATATTTATTTATTTAATTATTTTATTTACTCGAACTAGGTTCTAGCGTCGAATAGCAGGTTCACTAATGAATAATGAACTAGTTTATGAAAGGAAGCGGTGGTGGCTTTATTTAAGATACTAGAGCAGCATTTGTATTGAGAGACCGATAAAATCAATAAAAACCCGCCAGGATAACCGGTCTTTTAGTACTGAGACCTCTCATAACGTCGTCAAATTTCTACCAGAATGCACTGTGCAACATCACAGAAGAAAACCATTTTTATACTCATCGCCGTGAGAACGTGAAATGTCACCTGTTTTAATTAATATTCTACTCCGACATCTGCCTGGAGCAACGCAGGAAAAATCAAGCAAGAATATCGGTCTCTGGCTCGAGAATCTAAACATATGGTAAGACTAATCTATTGTTTATTTTACGACGATATTTTAACTACTGTCAGTAAGGGTCAGATAGACATTTGAGGCAGAGATGAAAAGAAACATACAAAGTTTTAATCTAAAGACCCAAAATGTTAGCACTAATTGGGAGATGTAGGCATAAATTGTATAATAAATTCAAATGCATTTTAAAGGTCTAGTGTGTAAAATATAGACTGAATTAATCTATTTCTTTATATTAATTTAAGGCGACAAAGTGAGCTTATAAAAAGACTGTGTTAACTGTTGAAAGCAATACGAGTAATTGTGATTATCAGAATTAACTTTCTTATCGATAATTGATTGTTGAAAAGGACTTAACCATGCATCACATTTACGTTGTTTATAATGCAATTATAATGTTATATTCCGTTCGACCAAGGAGTGCCGGTGGCTAACTTCGAAAACTCTCCCTTGTTGACTGGCGACGTCAGCTATACAGTTATACACCAAGGCACATGCGACCTCTCCCTCGCCTCATCTGCTTACTTCTAGGGTCTTCCAATGATGTAAACATTCATGAGAGCCCTCCTTGGTCAGACGTGTTATACCATGGTTTTGTAAGAGCTGGATGCTGTAAGAATAACACAAACTTGCCTGTAGGTAAATAGCAGGTTAGCAAACTTTCCTCTTCACTGCCTTTCCTTCTGCTCGCTCACGACTGTCTCCGCCATTTACCCAAAGATCGATCTTTCATAAGCTGGATTTTCTGTCCCGTCAAATTTACTGAAAGCATAGACGTAGTCTGCATGGACTGAAATGTGGTCAGTCCGTGATGAACGATTGCAATTCGACGCATGCGCGTTTAGATCTACCTCAGGCATTTCAGCGAATGTTCGTTCTTTAATATACTTTGGCTAACACGCTGCATGGGTTCTAATTGTATAAATTTTGTGCTATCATCAGTTGGCACCACAATTTACAGTGGAGATCTGGTAATAAGTTCTGTAAAAATAGCATAAACAGTTGTATGTTTTGTGAAGAGAACCACTTATTTTCATCAAGTGGACTGTTGAAATATTAGCTTGAAATGGTCGCTTCAAGTCGGCGGGATTTATTCATCAGCCCATTGAACTAATTTCCAATTTCAAGAGAGGAAGTTTGTACTCCAGTTTAGAGTGTTTATAATGAAAGTAGGCTTAATAAATCGTGTTACAATATGCGCAAAGCGCCACTGAATTGTATAAAAATGCAAAAATCTGACATGAAAATCTGTTTGTTTCATTAAGTTACTTAACTTTTCAACGAGGCTTTTTCATACAAATTATATTTATGCTTATGACCTGGGATCTGGGAATAGGACAGAGGAAGATGCTGTGTAGGCGGGCACATGTCCGTCTGAGTTACATTTAGAAAAGGTTGTCTCGGTAACATTATCAAACAAGGGAAATCATTTGGGCGAAAATAATTTGATGAATAATGCTATTATTAGAGAGTGAAAAACAATAATATTCTAACAAATTTTGTTTACCAAAGTTAGAATGTTAAGTTAAGGCGCTGCTTAAAGTTACTGAAGTGTTTTATCGGTTAAAATATACGGACAATATATATATATATATATATAT